TCCCTCCTTCCCTCCTTCCTTCCTTTCTTCCTTCCTTCCTTCCTTCCTTCCTTCCTTCCTTCCTTCCTTCCTTCCTCCTTTCTTCTTTCCACCTCACCATGAAGCAAACAGCTCACTCCTCCACAGCAGCCTGCCATCATGCCTGCCTCATCAGGCCCAAATGATGGAAGCAATGGATCAGGGACAGAATCATCAAAACTATGAATCAAACCAAATCTTTCCTCTTTTTAAGTTTAATCATCTCAGGTGTTAGTTACAGTAACAGAAAGCGGGCTAATACAGGGTGGGACTACACAAATTCTTAATTTATATTAACTTGGCTCAGCCACAGCTTTTTCTAGGTATGATTTAAGGAACCCTCATTCAGGCCACTGCCCCTTGGATAACAATGGGACAGTTAGTGACCCATCTTGTGGCATGAAGGGCAACAACTACAAGAATGTTAAACCTCCCATGGAGGCTGAGTAGGCCTCTGTCACCCTCCAGAGGCAGGTGCCTTACTGCACTGTTTCCTCGGGCTCCATAGCCAGACGCATAGCTTATGGATAACTTACCTTATTTCTCTGCTTCTCATTTAGATACCCAGCATGTTTAGGGTTAGGTTCATAAAGCTGCATAAGGATATTCTTGAGCCAGTCTCTCATCCGTAGAGGAAACTGAGCCACTTCAAAGTCCGTACACACAGGAATAGCTGTTAGGAGCAAAAAATATATTGTGATCTTTGGGTCTTGCTCTTGCCCTATGGAAAGTCCTCATAACTGGAAGCTCATCAACTTCTAGATACTGATGGTACACTATGTAATAAGGACCACTTATTACAACAGTGGTCCTTGACCCTGTGGCACAAGGGAATTGCCTGGATGTTTAAAAACATCAAGTACCAGATTCCACTTAAAAGAAATTCTGGTTTCATTTGTCTAGTGTTGAGGCTGGATGTCAGGATGTTTCAAAAGCTCCAAAAACATTTGTTTTATGCATAGCTAGGACTGAGAACCTGTGCTTGAGAACAGAGAGCTGGAGTTAGAAGAGCGAGGCATGAGAGTTGTTTATTAGAGGAAGAGGAAAAAGTAGTCAGCTACCAAATAATGCTAAATCTCAGTGGCTCAGAGAAACAAAAGCTCATCTGTCCATCCTGCTATGAGTCCGGAGCAGTTGGCAGGAGGGCTCTGTGCTTCGCAGGCTCTTCAGGCCTCATCTCTTACAGCTTCCATCTGGAGACAAGGCTTTGAGGTTGGTGGTGGCAGAGGAGCATGTGGGGAGACACACAGCATCTCTCAAGTGCTTCCGTGAAGGACACACAGGGATATCTGCTCATTCATAGGACAGATCAGGCCAGAGTATTACACCTGACACCAGGGGAGCCTGGAAGGGGACGAGCACTAGGATGTAGGTAGAGGGGTTTTTGTCACTGAGAGGAGTCAAATACAGTTGGGAGTATCCTGGGGAAGGACAACTACTTTAGAAAACTGCCAAGAGAATAGTTATAAAATTCTAGGCAAAGACTTTTTGGGAAGAGGGCAAATAATTTAGCAAAATTCCAGTAATTCATCTCTATTGTTAAATGGGTAACATTATCCTCATGATTCTGCCCCCTGGCTGCATTTTAGAATTGTCTCGGTTACTTGATAAACAAATGAAAAACAATGTCAGGGTTCCAGCCCAGTCCAATTAAACGAGAGTCTCGTATGGATAAGCCTAGGAATTCTTATTTTTTAAGTTTCCTCAGTTGACTTGAGTGTTCACCCTGAGCTCATAACTACTTGAGCTTTTTCTTTTATTTTTTAAAGGTACTTAGTACAGGGCCTACAGGGTCTCACTGCACAGATCAGACTCGTAGTGATCCTCCTGTTTTCAGCCTCCCAAACACTGGGACTATAGGTGTGCACCACCATGTCCAGTCTTCATTCACCAGCTCAGCATGCCTGGGGAGGGGCCAGCACAACACACCGGGGATCCAACCCCAGTCCCTGTGTCTGCCTAAGCAGGCACTTTAATCCACTGAGCTATCTGGCTGGCCCAACTTGAGCTTTTCCTTATCTGCAAACATAGAATTCCTCCATGTACACAGTCACTCCAAACCCTCCCAAAAATGGTGGTTGCAGTCATGAGGGAGGCTTACATTTGCAGGCCCCAAAATAATCCAGCTGCAGTTGGTGTCCCTTTTTGGTCCCTTCCAGTCTGCACTTAGTAGCAAACAGATGACAGGAGCTCGCGTAGGTCTGGTTGTCGGTGCCACAAGCCTGGGAAAGATGAGTGAGAGCAAAAGCAGATGGGGCCAGATGTCATTGGAAAGCACTGCTCCTGAGAGCTCAGAGGGTGCCTCAGAAATGGTGCTGTGCCAGAGATGAGGCTGGGTATGTGAGAATATTAAAGCAAACTTAAATGTCTCACGGTTTCTCTTATGTGAGAAACGTGAATTATAAATAAAGAGCACAGGAAAAGATGGATAACAGGGAGTAGGGAGAGAGAGCTTTCTCCTTATATGAAGACAGGGGAGAGAGGAAAGGGGACTAAAAAAACCCCAATTACTATGTGTTACGTACATGTACAAACTCCCCACAATAAAGATAATCATTGGGGCTGGTGAGATGGCTCAGTGGTCTAAAGCACCTACTTAGAACAAGCTTAGCAAAGCACAGGGACTGTGGTTCAATCCCCCAGCACCACATGCCAGCCAGGCCCGCCCCCTGGTGGACTGAGCTGCCCCCCCCACACACATATAAAAAATTTTTTTTAAAAAA